ATATAAATATAAATACATTTGCAATCTTACCTTGTGTATATAATTACAGGTTCGTGGTGAAGCAGAGGCTTTCGCCATTGCAGCCAAAGCCAAAGCAGAGGCTGAACAAATGTCCAAGAAGGCAGAGGCTTGGAAGGAATACAAAGAGGCTGCTATGGTCGACATGCTTATGCAAACTTTGCCTAAGGTAAAAAAAAGCTTTACTAATAATAATTACTTTAAAGTTTAATAAATATTTGTTATATTTAATCTACTACATTATTATTTACATTTTCAGATCGCGGCGGAAGTTGCAGCTCCATTATCTCAAGCAAAGAAAATCACGATGGTGTCTTCTGGTGCTGGTGATGTAGGAGCATCTAAATTGACTGGTGAAGTGTTGACAATCGTTAGCAAAATGCCAGAGCTTGTTAAAAGCATGACGGGAGTTGATATTTCTCGCGTAAGTACTGCATAATTTATTCGCAATACACAACTATTTATGATGAAATATTTAATGACTTTTTTTGAATGATTAATCCTGCGAAAAGAATTAGTCTTAAATAAAATAATTGAACTCATGCTAAAATTATATCCTTGATTTTTTTACCAATTGTTCTCAATGAACTATTCTTCACATATTTTTTTAAATTAATTAAATATGACTTCGTCCTTGCATGAATTCTAGTTTATTAACAAGATGATATTTTACTACATAAATATTTTTATTAAATCTAGACAGTTAACGCAGGATAAAGTTGGGGACACCGGTAAATAAACAAACTACGTTGATTTAAAAATACGAATGCTGCCATTTAAAACTATATTCTATATAAAAAAATGCCAATTCAATGATACTTGGCATAAATAATTTTTCAAGACACCATTTAAGGAACTTAATCTTATTATTCACATTTCAGCAACTGCATCTTAATATTTTTGTTTTGTGTTAGAGTTCAAATACGTGATCAAACCCATATTCATTGAATGGTCTTATAAATATGTATCTTTTTAATTTAGAAGGCCTGTAATCAATCGCTTATGGTGTTTATTGATCATGTTTGAACACAAACAGTTTTCGTCTAGTCAGTATAAATCCTTAGTTTACCTTGTAATTAACATTATATTAGATTTATTAGTATTTTATTTGAAATATGCTCAATTAACATCCAATGCTTCTTTATATTCATAGCAATAATTTGTTGATTAATCCAAATTTACAAAAGAGTAACATTATTTTTTGAGAAACTCGAATTTAATAAACAACTCTTGCATTAAGAATATTTTTTTACGTAGCTAGTTTAAATAAATATAAATCGGCGATGTAAGTAAATGAAATTTGATGTAAAATTTAGGAAAATTATCACATAGCAAATTAGTCAATGACTAAGGATTATCTGTCTATATTTTCTTACCTAGGCAAAATACTCATATTTGGAAAATCAATTAGAAGTGAGTTCTTATATTCCTTGAAAAAATATTTGTGAGTATAAATTTAATAACCATTCATAAATCTATCCAATAAAACGAAATTTCTATTTAATGCAGGTAACATAAATAAAATTGGAGGTATAATAATCCATACCGTTCCTTTTATAGTTGATATTTACACGCATAACAATTTGTTTATATGTGATATTTATTGCATTTTTAAATGAATTTTTCACATTTGTGTACACTCGTTTTTAAACACTTTTGTCAAATGGTTGATGTGGTAAAGATTTTTGTGAGTTTGTTTTAAATCGATAGTCGAGCCCTTGAAGGAAATTGTGCCATTTTGTGACGTACAATCTTAATTTTGCACCAAAATATTCACCAATGATATTCATATAATGGTAATGGTAATAATTAAGTGAAAAATCTTGATGTTATATTTTGGATCTGTAATATACATTTCATAGAAATTAATGATTATTGTCATTTGAAATATATCAATGAAATGTTGAACTATATATGCATTTATCATAATTTATGTTAAAAATATGGATTATTAAAATGTATTAGATCTGATAATCACTTGAAATTTCATAACTTGTAGATTTTTTTTCAATTTGATATGTTGATTTATGAAATGTGTATTGCAGGTTTTTTTATTTTCTTTTATAATTATACATATATATATATATAATATATATATATATATATATAATTTTAAATACATCACAATTATACATTACATTTATTTCAAATGTAAGAAATTCTCACAGTTTAGTACAAATATATTTATCTAACCATAAGTAATTTTCTCATATGTAGAAACTATTTAATAATTTTTATTGTTGTTTGAATTTGATATTAATCGTAAAATGTTTACGGTATATTTTAATATTCGATTCTTTACATTATTAAGATATTAAGTAAAATAACGCTTATACTATAAGAATTTGATTAAAAGGCGTTGGAAATAATATTAAGTATTTATGAATTAAACAAATGCAATTTTAAAAATTGATTTCTTGATTCTTATTACTGTAATTTCTAAAAACAGAAACAATTACATCCATAGAAAATATTTTTCACTTTTAACGAATGGGACTTAGAATATTCATTAGCACTTTATATTTATTTGTTTATAATATTACTAAAACCAAATGTCGTTTGCATTTGGTTTTAGTAATACTATATGTTTATGTAAATATATTTGAACATACACATATTATTTAATAAATAATTTAAATGAAGGATAATACCCAAATAATTAAAATAATTATTAGAGTTTCGTACATTAGATTTTGGATTTTTATATCTTTCATAACGACTAAGTTTAATTTGAAAATTTTGATTTTTAAGTATTCAGATTAAATATTTTATACTATTTATCATTAGATCATATGGTTATAATAGAAAATTTAATTTTTTATACTAATTCTTGTTTTTCACAATAATTTGAAGAATTCTCTTCCTTTAAGTATGTATTTAACTTTATATACAACTTTGATGATATAAGAAAATCATGCTCTTTTTATTTAAATCTTGTAGTATAACGCGTTTTTTTTTATTACCTTAATTATATTTAAGAGTTTTACATTTATTAGATGTTTTTTGGAACTAGGACTTGCCAAAATAAAAATCTTATTCTGCATTTTCCAAGATTTCAGAATAAATTTTTCTGAAAGCTGATAAATGTTCAATAATCAATATACCAAGCAGTCCTTTTCCCAAATAATTTAGTAAATATATTTTGTTGTAAATAATAATTGTGTTAAACTATAATCTTTTTTTCTATTGAGGTTGTGCAATGTCAAGGACATCCAATTACCAGCAAATTTCGTAAAGATTCTGGCGACATTTGATTTTTGTATTTTTATTTATTGTTATTATATTTCTATTGTAATTTAATAATAAATGTTTTATGTTATCGTATGGAGCGTCGTCTTATCTGTATACTAAAAAAAACGTGAATCCCAAAAATTCAGGCTGGATCCACAATTTTTTGAAAACCGCTTCAACATGAAACTAAAATTTGATTCATAAGTATTTTTTATAAACACATAAGGTACAATTTCACAGTCCAAAATCGTACTTTAATTTTTTTATTTTGAAACTATACTTCTGAATAGTGGTTCTGGCCTATTAGAGAGTTCATGTAAAGTAGCGATTCGTCATTTGTATCATTAAATTCCGAATTTGATGTGTATTTGAATCTGCCTTACTAAAAAAATAATGATTGCCAAAAAGTAATATACCCTTTTACACTAGTAGTCTTTTAGTGAGATAAGAATTATTTTCTTACTCCTTATATATTCCATTCCTCTATCCTAAAAAAAAACTGTCAGAATAAGTACAATAATTTGAACAAAAAAGTATCTTTAAGTAGATTTAACATTGTATTTATTATTTAACTAGAACATGCTTGTCAAACATTTATATATACACATTACCTATATTCTTAACATTATTTTCTCTCCTGCATCATAAACTTTATAAAATATATATAAAAATATTTTATTGTATATAATTGTAGTAAAAATAAATACAAATTGGAACAAATATTAAATGTTTTTTCCCATTATATTTATTGGAAACAACATTTATTTAACTCCTTAATGTTAGTTTGGTAACGCTTGAGGATACGGAATGCTTTCATTTGCTATGTCTATTGAAGCGAGCATATTGGTAACTCAGTTTAATAAACAGAAATCACCATTGAGCAATACATCAATTAAAAATATTAAAAGCTATGAGCTGCACTTTACTTATAATAACAACTTATAACAAAATGCACAATACTAAACTTTTCAATTTCCAATTAATTTAATAGAAGATCATCATATTTTTAGAATGCGTTGGCACACATATTGTTAAAAAAGCATGTCTTTGACCGAGTCAAGTTGGTGCATTTCTTCACAATAAAATTATTTGTTTAATCAAAAAATAATATTAAAATTTCAATATATGTACAATTAGTTTTGAGCATACAACATAATAGATACTAAGTTTTTAATATAAGCACAACCATCTATCAACAACCTTAAATAAAACCTAATATAATTTTTAATAAAAATTTAGATTTTCAATAATATAATTTAAAATTTTCATTTAAAATAAATTTTATTGAAGAATTCTTATACAAATTCTTATACGCGTCATAAAATTGTTTTAATTGTGTTTTAAAAATACTGTCTAAATATTTTTTAATCAACAAATTAACAATGCTAATTATGCAATTAGCATATCAAAATAATTGATTATTGTAATCAACATTATAAATGTATTAATTATTTTCCAGGTATGCTATGAGAAACAAATCATTGGATCAAACTAAATTCTTCAGATAAAATTTATTTTAATTAGATTTTATCTTAAATCAAATAAATAGAACTATGCAGGCAATCAATAGTCAATTAATAATGCGTGGGAAGACATCAATTTGAATGCAAACAAATTTGCATCGGAAATAGTTGATGCCTCTATAAAATAAGCAATCATGTATTTAAACAGTGATATGTTGCGATTTGAGGCTTTAATTGGTACAAAACATTCTGCAAACGATATTCTATATTTCCTTATCACAATTTCATTTAATAGATTTTGTTATCACTAGATTTTCCCAGAACATCATACGGATAAGATTTCTTTTTGTATTTCTTTTTCAATATCATTTTAATGGCTACAAATATTAAACCACCACAAGCGGCATACATCAATATACAAATATTAAAATCTAATTTCGTTATATTAGCCGAACTGAACATCGCCTTTGGTTCAATATAAATACTTAAATCTACATCTAAAAGACTTACATTAGCAGGACTGTGCAATTGTTTGATATATTCTAATACTTTCAAATATTGCCAATCTCCACCTTTGCTTTTGTAGCAAGCTGGACACCTTCATAAGAGGGAAATTGGATTTTAGGATGCTCAGGATCTTCTGAAATATCTCCTGAAAGTCTTTATTAACTTGGTTATGTGCAGCCCAGAGCCACAAAATAGCCTCATCGCCTCCTACAACATGCCAAATATTTCTTTGAGAACATTTCCTGGAAGTGATTACTGCAATCAGCACAGCCAAAAAAGTTTTTAATATATCCATGCATAGCTTGTAATATTTCTTGTCCTTTAGCCACAGGATTTTCGTCATTAGAATGGTCTTCTGCAGCCTGAACTGTTAGATGATGGAATAAGGTCCACATACCACATGGATAGCCTCGAAGACCAGGTCTGCTACCCTTGCAGCCTAACCATTGATGAGTAGAGAATACGGGCCTGCCCTCTTCTAAAGTCTTTACTAAGGCAAAGAAGTCTTGTCCATTGATTTCAGTCAATCTTTGTAAGCTATCATCAAGCCTGTTCAAGAAGGCTTTACCAGATGGTCCCATATGAAAATATTTTGCTAATACTGAAACAAATTGCTGCAGAGCAATCAATTTTTCAGTATCAATATTAGCTTGCTTTGGAATTTCTTGAAAAATGGAATATCGAACAGCAGATTCCAAGTCTGATTGGAAAACTGCATCACCCAAAGATTTTACTTTTCTTTGTAAAGCCTCGATCATCATATTGTTCAACATTTGCTTACTATCAGGTATTTCTAAGTCCCTCCAATGCCCCGTTTTATTATGAGTTTCAGGATGTACTTTAATTTGGTGAGACTTCAAAAAGACTTCAATAGAATTACGTATCTCATCTCTTGTGGGTTTAGAAGGACTTAATTTTATTACGGATTCTTGTGCATTTTTTGATAGAACAGCAACAGCTGGTCGTTCTTGAATATTCAAACATTGCCTAAATTACTTTCATCTAATGCTGTGCGTATTGAAATGTGACCGA